AAGTGCTTGATCCACAACCAAGCATAAAACAGACAAGTTGAGAGATCTTCAAGCAAGGCACGCGGTCGAGACCTCCGAGAACTCAAAACGAACACGAACATGGATGATCATCGAGTGCTCAAACGATGACGTCTAAGTCTTGAGGACGGTCAAAAATGGGGTGTCTACACACGTGTCCCTTATTTTCTAGGACAAATAAAAAATTAAATATTGAGGTGGTGGAAGGAACTTAAACCTAAGACTATTGGTCTAGTAAATAACACTTGTATCACTTGAGCTATCGTCATTACATGTTTTTAATTCAAAATCAATATTTATATTTTACTGATTTAACAACACACCCATTGGGTGGACAAACACCCACTAGTCTATACTTACATTATTAAAAGGGAACATCTACTTTGTACTCCTAAAACTTTTGCCACGCATTTAGATAATATAAAATAAAAAAAATAAAAAAATCATCCACATTATTTCCACTCAACCAACACGTTCTCTAATTAACTACTCTATACTGCTTTTATTCTATAATCAGTTACTTTTATCATTCTTCCTTTTATGCTTTTTGGTTTCTTCATCTCTTTCTATAATGGTTTTCTCTTTCAAAGAAAATTCATAAGTGTTTGATTTAATTATGGCAAATTCTTTCTTTGTTCTCTTTCCTCCAAGGTTTATTTTTTCCTATTTAACAATGAAACCACTTGGAAGAAAATTCTTAATGCTAGGGTTTCTCTTTTGATTTGGATTAACTAAGCTATCTTGATTTTGCCTTGCCACCCCAATATTTTTAAGCAACCATAACTTTTGCTACAATTTCACCTTAAGTAACCTTTTTTTTTTTTTTTTAATACATCTATATTATCTATCTATGTGAGTAAGTGACTTGGATTCCTAGTCTATACTATTATTAGAAGGGAACACCTACTTTGAACTTCTAAGCTTTTGTCATGTGACATTTAGATAATAATAATATAAAAAAGTCATCCACGTTATTCCCACTCAACCAATACGTTCTCTAATTAACTACTCTATATTTCTTCTATTTTACAATCAATTACTTTAATTGGTTTTTTTTTTATACTTTTTGGTTTCTTTCTCTCTTTCTACAATGGTTTTCTCTTCAAAAAAAAAAAAAATACAAAAGTGTTTGATTTAATTATTGCAAATTCTTTCTCTATTCTCTTTCCTTAAGGGTTTATTTTTTCCTATTTCATAATGAAATCACTTTGAAGGAAATTCTTAATGCTAGGGTTTCTCTTTTGATTTCGATTAGCTAAACTATTTTGATTTTGCCTAACCACCCCAATATTTTTAAGCAACCATAACTTTTGCTACAATTTCACCTTAAGTAACCATTTTTTTTTCCACAATACATCAATATTATTTATCTATGTGAACAGGTCACTTGGACTCTTGGTCTATACTATTATTAAAAGGTAAAACCTACTTTGGACTTCTGAAACTCCACATAGTGATTCCGGTTTTGACCCGACTCTTATTGTATTCCGGACTCGGGTTTAATGGTTTCATATTGTTGTTTACATCTTGCTTCCCATGTATCTCCTTAAATTTTGCTTTGGGGTTGTTGTGGTTGCGTTTAGAACAAGTTGGTTGCTCAGTTTCTAAACCTTTGTTGCCTAGATTTTTGCCCCTCCGCTCGAGCATTTTTTCCGCTCGAGTGGACTTTGCAAACTCTCAGTACTTTTGCCGGTCTGTAAAACTACTGGGAGAGTGTATTCTACACTCGAGCGGACATTCTTACACTCAAGCGTTGGTCTGTTGTCTACAAAACTACTAGATGTGTGCATTCTACGCTCAAACGGAACAAATTGTTATGTCTGACGCTCGAGCGTCAACTCTAGCGCTCAAGCGGACTGTGCGTATATCAGTTCGCAACAGCACTCTTTTTCATCACTTTTTCAAAACTTTCTCCCTTAAAACCCTAGATCTAGAGTTCCTCTCTCTAAAACGCACACTCTCTCTACTTTTTCACCTAGCTTTAGTGGTTTGTAGATCTTACTCTCTTTGATAAAAAGATATAGCATCTTAAGGGCTTTATTCTCATCTAAATAGAATTGGATTTCGGCGTGTTTGAAGTGTCTTCTTTCTCTCTCGGCTTCTAAACTCAAGGTAGGGATTTTTCTACACTCTCATATGGGTTTTAACTTGGTTATTTGTTGTTGTGTAAACAATGTTTGGATTTGGAGTATTTTAGACAAATTTAGGGTTTTGGTTTAAAATCACTTTGTTTAGACCAACCACATCTTGTTCTACGCAACCAAGGTATTGACCATAAGTTACTGTTTAATTGGTAACACAACACAAACAGCTAAAAATAATTCCCTTCCCAAAGTGAAGATAATTCCTTATCCAATTAACATCTGTTCATTATTCACTTCGCGCTCAAGTGAATAACAAAATGTTCAAAAGCATAAAGTTACAGACGAAATCCTTCAAATCATTAACAAAACGATGAGAAAAGTCAAAAACAAAGAACTTCTGTAACAAATCTCCCAAATAAGGTTGTAAAAAGTTGACAATTTAAATCTAATTAACAAACAAATTATAAAAATTGCATAACAGTAGCTCAAAGACTACAAAAAAATTTCTTTATTATTTTAGATATGATTCATATGAACATATGTCAAATAAATAAAAGTATACATAGCCAAATTATCAAACTACACTATACAAATTCGTTAGATGAACAATTGTTTTATCATCAAACCTAAGATAGTAGTATGAAATCAACCACATACCAAGGATGATAACTAATGATATTCTTACATTTGTGAAACCCAATTATGTCTACTGATACTAGTGGTAAACCCGTGCTATGCACGGGATTGGTTTAATAATGTGTAAATTTTTTAATAACGCATTAATTTCTAAATTTACTCATAAAATTATAATCATAATGCATAGAGATCATTTTTTCAAATTTCTTAAGTGAAGACAATATTTCAAAGCAAATATTCATAAAATATTTAAATCCAATTGAGTTATTTTTCTTAAAACAATAAACTTGACTTCTAACTAATGAAATAATATATATTAACAATAAATAAGATGTTTCTCAATAAACTTAATGTCTAAAACATATATATGCTAAAAAACACTAATAATAAACTAAATGTCATAAATCAAATCTATCTATATTTGATAAATTAAAACTCAATAGATGTTGCTCATCATGTCCAAATGTTCCAAAAAGTACCTGTAAAATAAAAAAGTGTTAACATTTTTTTGTTATCATTTTTTACATACAAACAAACTTTAAAAAAAAAAATAGATATATTACCTTGTGAGGAGTGTTGATTTAATTGTCCTCATTTTTGGGTTGTTGCTTCACTTCACTCTCTTCACAACCATTATTTTGTTGTTGCTGCTGCTGCTGTTCTTCCACTTTAATATTTTCATTACTAATGCGTTGCTCCACTTCATCCAATGCTTGTAAACAAATCATATCATTTTCAATTTCCTCCAACATAACTATCAATGCTCTCATGTTTGGAAAGTCCTTTTTAATTTTTTTATGAATTTCTTGAATAGGCCATGAGGTTGGAAGTGTGTTAACTATAGCATGAACTAATATTGCAATGTGCGGCTAGAAACCTTTTTTCCTAAGCTTATAAAACACTTGCTCTTTATGTAACATATGCTCTTGTACCGTTAAATTTGGAGTCATCCGCGCTTGCTCAAGTTTAATCCATAGAGGATGAACATCACGCTCCTCCTCCATTAAAGCATCCATTAAGTCTGAAGCATCTTTGATTTCGTGCTTTTGAAAATTTGTTTCCTTTACTTCATTCCAGCTAGATGGTAAAAGGTCTAATATTGTTTCCACCAAATTTTTTTCACTTATTTTTTTTCCTAATTTTTGCATTGCTCGACATATTTTGATTTTCCAATCAACAAAATTTTCTACCGGTAAACCCTCTTTATGTGGTATAGTTTCAAATTCATTTATGGCATTTTGCATCGCCAAATGATCACTACGACGCAAATTTAGAGGAGGCCGCATATTTATCTGCACAATAAATTTAACACATTTAATATACAATTACATAATGTTAGTCAAGTTGTTTTTAATAATAAACCACATTAATTATTATTTGAGTAAAATTTATATTGATTAAAAAACGAAGGATACTTAATTATAAAATAAAATAATTGTATGAATTAAACATAGTATATGTACAGACAATTAAATTAAATATGAACATGTAAATTTCAAATGCAACATATGTTTTCATGTGTGAAATTACTTATTTTAAACAATCAATATATGAAGAGAAATAATAAAACAATTGTTTCTAGGAAAATGAAACACATTTGAAACTCTTGAACAAAATTATTGATCAATGCCACTAAAAACTTCTATGTAAACTACATTTTTGGTGACATCATCCGGTATGCCTTGTTTATTAATAATCAACACCTTTAAGCCTGATGGGGAGGTGACACGTGATAGAGCTACATGCAGCTGGCCATGAGAGAAGACGGGATTCGGAAGATAAAGGCCCACATTCTTCACAGTTTGCCCTTGACTCTTATTTATTGTCCTAGCGAATGCCAACTTTATTGGAAATTACCTTATTTTCATTGTAAAAGGAGCATGATTTTTGGAAGGTGTTAAAACAATACATGAAAGTAGTACTTTCTCACCAACTCTAGACCCTGTAATAACTCTAGCTTCAATTACTTGATTTCCCATCTTATCAACAATTAATCGAGTGCCATTGCATAATCCCAAAGATTGGTTGACATTTCTTAGAAGCATTATTAGTGTTCCAACTTTCAACTGCAAACAATGATTTGGAAGTCCTGGTAAATTCAAAGAATGCAAAAGTTCAGGAGGGTTCATGTCTTGAACATTGCTCACTTTCTGTTGGACACAATTTATCGGCACTGTTAAAAATTTTCATCTCTCCAGGAAGCATTGAAAGCATAATAGAATTGATTTCATCAACATCACTATTTTTAGGAGCTAAAATGCCTTATTCTTTTAAGTACGACATATCCTGATAGTTATTTATGAAATCAGGATAGGTGGCATCGATTAACTGGTGCAAATCTCTTTCTCTATTTTTTATAACAAATTTTTCTGGTATCTGTATCCAATTAGATTCATAGCCTTCACTAAATGAGCTTCCCATTATTTTCCCTTCACCAACCAATTTAATCCACTCTGCAAAGTCACGTAATTCATGACGCGTATGATTAGAAATATCTTGTGCTGTAACACGCATATTTCTGGTAAGATGCAAAACTTGACAATGCTCACAAATTGTTGACTTAGGTAATGAAGCTTCCACTGTTTGTTCACGCCCACCTCTAGGTACGACAGGCAATATTTGTCTAAAGTCACCACCAAGCACAAATAGTTTTCCACCAAAAACCCTATCCCCTGAACAATGTTCTGTATTTTTCAATATGTCCCTAAATGTACGATCAACAGCTTCAAAAGCATGACGACTAACCATTGGTGCTTCATCCCATATAATTAACGACGCCTCTTGAATTAATCTTGCCAAATCTGTCCCTTGATTTATTGAACAACATGATGAGTTATCAGGGTCAAGCGAAATATTGAAACGGGAATGGGCAATTCGTCCCCCGGGTAAGAGCAAAGCTGCAATACCTAATGATCCAATAGAAAGAATGATCTTCTTATCGGATCGAAATTTTGCAATTAAAGTGCTCCATAAATATGCCTTTCCAGTTCCTCCACTACCATACACAAAAAATAAGCCCCCATGATGAGTGGAATAAGCTTCCATTATGGTGTTAAACACTTTCAATTGGTCATCATTCAATCCCACATATAAAGATTCAAAAGATTGCATTTCTGAAATGCTATCGTAGTTCAATTCCTCTCTTATGAGCCTATTAGTAACCATTTGACCTGATCGATATGATGGTAGTGGCATCGGAGGAAACTCTTTAAGAGACCTTCCATTCTGATTTAGTACGTGTTCAATTTCAAGCAATCCTAAATTTTTCAATTCACATTCTTCGAGACTTATGTTGCCATCCCCAATTTGCCTTTGTACCCTATTTTGTAAATCATCAGTAAGGTCAAACCAATGATTCTCCCACAATTCATATGCATTTGTAACCTCAGAAAACATTAGCATTGAGCAAAACATATTTCGCAGTTGAGCACCTGATGCCCATGTTGAGGCTTCTGTCAAAGCTGCGTCCCATTCATTATCATCGTCAAGTAAGCCAAGTGCAAGGGATGCAGATTTAAATGTTGGGTGCACAATGCCATTAACGGTTCTAATATCTTCATAACATTTTGCACCTCGAACCTTGGTAAGCAACATACGTAAATAATATCGTTCACCAGAAATAGGATGTGCATAATACAATCTACCTATGCATATTTGTCGTTGCCTCATTTTTCATTTCTTCTGTTTCTGGTTCCAATCCCATGAGCTAGGAAACTCTTCATATGTTAATGTATTTGCCTCTACATGATCTCTGTTTGCTTGAAACCACCTTGTAAACATTGTCTCGTGAACCCCCGGCTGATTAATAATTGATGGAATGTTATCTGTGTCTCTAAATAGAATAGATTGTTCCCCAGGTAGATGGTACTGCAACCGTTCAACTGAAGGGTATTGCTTTTGCAATTCAAACTCAAATATACGCCAACAACTTTCAATTGCGGAGATATATCGACAATCTAAGTATTGTTTCACCTCATCAGCCTCTCTATACCGACTTTGTCCATCAATGTTAAGTCGATTAACATTATCTTCAATTACAACCGTTGCACGATTAGGACCTTTATGTATGTACTTATATAAGTACTTGATCAATTTGCTGTGTGCACAACGCTCAATATTGATATGGGCATCATACAGTACAATAAGATCACGGTTGTATGGAATAACCCATCTTTTGTCAATTTCAAATCCATTAACCATGTATTTTTTCTTTGTATCCCTTCGCCTATAGATAGCAATTCCATTTTCATCAATACTCGTTTCACTACAAAAATTCTTCGGATAATGTTTTGAACATTTTCCATTCACCATACATGGGGCATTAGGGTTAGCACTGCCACAGGGACCATGTATCATGCACCTCATCACTATTTGAAATGCTAATGGATCTTCATCCTTATCAGGAATTTCAGCACAAATTATATTATCAATTTCCTCTGGAGATTTTATCTTGTCATCTGCTGATAATGTCAAGATAATGTGCGAATGCGGCAATCCTCACTTTTGAAATTCGATGACGTGTATATCTATTCAAGAAAAAATAATATTATTTGTTAACTTTAAACTAAATTTAACAAATCCAATTGACCAATTCAAATAAAAACAAACCTGCAATTATTTTGCCAAAGAATTTTCGATTCTTGAAATATGCCATCAGTTGTTTCATTTTAATTCGAAAAACTCTCGCAAGTATATCCGGTATATTCTCTGTGCGTCGATTTGGAATGTGCGTTATCTCCTGTTGAATTTCTGACCAATTTGGGTTACATGTGAATGTGACAAAAAGGTCAGGAAATCCCATCTTTCGACATATTGCGATCGCATCTTGGTAATGCTGAACCATATTTCGTGGGCCGCTTGTAAAAGATGATGGCAGTATAAATCTCCTACCAATGGTTGATGCATCACTGTCACCCGCAGTCACAGCATCTTCTAAACCTCTGTACAAATCAGTCCGCAACACATTTTGTTTATGCCTAATGAAGTTTAGTCTATCTTGCTCAATAGTTGCATAACAATCAACAACAAATTGTTGGAACAAACGTCCCCCTTGCAATAGCGTTTTCCCTTCTCCAACTCGAAATTGAAGTCTAAATGCATAAAACTCTCTCATTGACACTCCTTCTCGTTTGTTGTTTGTACCCAGAGTAAAACTTATAGACCTTCTCCATCTATCAGTCCCATAGGGAAAATGTAATGGATATTGAAGTGGCATGTATGAAGGATGTGTTTCATTAATCCTTTGTAAATGTCCATCTAATTTTCTAACAATTATGTCACGATTTGTAGTGCTTTAAGACCCATCACCAACAATTAATGCAGCAATTTCAGTTGTAGTGGGTCTAGTGTACTGTCTTCCATCCCTCAAACTCAAAATGCGAATATGCAATTCCTGAGCACCATTCTCACGAATCATGTCTCGAGCAGTGCAAAAAATTGATACATATGATTGATGACATTCAACATTGACTTTAAACCTTCTAATGTGGACGTATCAATTCCCGATGTGCCACCACACCTATTCATAGCATCCATTCTATTGCGAATTTCATGCTCAGTGTTATAAATATAGAGTTGTGCAAATTTAGGCCTTGTTCCAGGTTCCGGTAGTAGAGAACCAATTTTATGAAAATTTGCTCCACTAATACGAAAAACATAAGGACCCCTTCCATCTAACACTGACTAATCAATTTTCCCACCCATGGATGTGAAGGATAATAGGGAGTTATATGTCCTTATGTGTTCCTTGAATCTCACATGAGTAAACTGTTTTTGTAAAAATTCAGGAGTTTCTGGCAATAAAGGCAACATCACTTGTCCACTTTGACAACATAGACTAAATTTTGGTCGACTCAATGGACTATCTCTTACTTTTTCCTCCATCCACATCATTGCTTGACATCTAGAGCATGTTACTGTTCTCCCACCAAAGTTTGAGCGGTCTGAAATTTTTCTCCTTCTAGAACGTGTGGTAAATGTACTACCTGAAATTATTTAGATTTAGATTATAATTATGAATTTCTATTATCTGTAAGAAATTTGTATAGAGTACATAGTTGGCTAAATGTTTAATACCAGGTGGATGTGCTCTACTTGAAGTTGGTGGTACAATATTAGGAGCTCGCACTTCTGATTCATTTGTATCTAATTCATTAGATATAGGAATCTGAATTCCAACATGACTAACATCAGGAGCATTGTCATTATTGCGACTCCATGTTTGTCTGAAAGCACCACGTTGCATTCTTTTGAGTCTCAAGACTGTGATCCTCAAATGTCGATTCTCCTTTTCTATTTTCCGAAGGCGATCCTTTAATGTAGGATCATTACGATCATATCGTGTTAAAAGTAATCTTCTTCTTGCCACCAGTCGTGCCAACTTGGAGGAAAGATATTTTCGATATCAATTTTCATATTCTTTATCAACACCTAATATATAATATAAGATCATATTATTATTTTTGTGATTCTTAAAAGATTATTGAAAATGTGAAGGTCTCACTAATAAGATTGTAAGAAAATTTGAAATGTAACATTATTGTGTAGAAGTCAATAGATTACCACTATGATGGGCACTACTTCATAATCTTTTTAAACGCAAACGATGGTTCTCAAACGTCGAGCCTCCTTTTCTATATTGAGAAGACGAATCTTCAAGGTTGGATCATTACGATCAGAATGCCGTGTCAAAAGCAGCCTTCTTTTGGCTACCAATCGAGCCATCTTGGACTTAAGTCGTGCTTGATTAATTTCTCGATTAAAAATCATATCCATCCTGAATAGAGTATTAAGTTGAAGCTTATATAACTCATGCTATTAGTTTATAGTATAGATAATGACTTAAGGATGTGTAACATATGACTTTCATATAAAAAACATGATAATCTATAATTGTTTGTAGTTAATTTTACACACCGAAATGATTAACTCCTACATGATAACATCTAGTGTAGAATCCATATAAATAGAATGTATCAAAGATCTAAAATCATGCAGGTTATATATTTATTATATATGTAGATATGATAGTCAATAATTGTTTCTAGGCATATTAAAATCTGCTAAAAAAACCCACAAACATGGTAGTCTATAATTGTTTGTAGTTAATTTTGCACATCGAAATCATCAACTCCTACATGATAACATTTGCTATAGAATTCATAAAAATAGTGTGTAACCAAAGATCTAAAAATTTGTAATTCAATTTCAAACCTGGAAATGTCAAATGGTTAACCAATTGTTGCTGATTTATCTGGAATTTACCTTAAGTTTGCTTGTCTTATTCTTTAATAGAATTCAAACTGGAATACAAAAGATAAAGAATACAAAATCTCAGTAAGTACCGTTATTTGTTGTAAGTACATAAAACAAATTAAAAATCTATTATACAACATGGATCTACTGAGGAGCTAATGTAATTATTCGTAAAGAAATTATAATACAATAATTTTATAGTAAGCAAAGATAACGTAATCAAATTATTGTTATACATGGAAAAAAAAAACACAAAGGAAAAAGAGGATTTATTTTGATTTATTGTTAGATTTTTTTTGAAGATTTTGTAAATTACAAAATAAACACAAAGCGGTGTCTTTTTGTGGATGGTAGGAATAAAAAGTTGTGGGTTTTTATTTTTATTTTTAAAATAACGTGATAATCTAAGATGGTAGAATTTTCATTTCAAAACATAATATTTCCGATTTTCAAACCAAGTATGTATGTATATATTTTGATTTATTTAATTGATTTAAGTTATAGATATTACTAAATTTTATGTGATAGACGTCTGATTCAATGAATTGTGGGTGTTGGATATGCATGAGTAAATTATAGGAATAAAAATTGTGGGTTTTTTTTTTTTAAAATAACGTGATAATCTAAGATGGTAGAATTTTCATTTCAAAACATAATATTTCCGATTTTCAAACCAAGTATGTATGTATATATTTTGGATTTTGTAAAACAAAATAAAACATGAAAGATTAAATTTTGATTGGAACACTCATAGTACCATCCACAGTAGCACCGTTATAAACCATTTCATACCATATCTCAAAGTAAGACATGTAAAAAAAAAAAAAAAACAAAACAAAACAAAAAACAAAAAGGAACAATACTACAACCAAAAGAATTTATATGAACACAATTTAAATTACAATCTGTGTTGAAATTCTCCTAAAACTTAAAAGATATCCTCTGTAAAAAAAAAAAATTCAAATATAAGATATATGAATCCCACCGTATATAATATCTAATTTAACCCATTATATCGAAAATCAAACGGGCCTAAAAGAAAGCACAAAAAATAAATGAGTTTAACTTTTTCACGACTCAGTTGTAAAACACTGATTTACGAAGAGCCAACTGAAAGGTTCCACATCAACATTTTATTGAATTTTATAAAAGTTTTACATCCATTACCATACACTCACCTTTATGTGATCACTCCTCTCTTCCTCTTTCACACATTCATCTCTATCGCTCCATTTCTCTCTATTCTAACTCCATCACCGAGGGCTACCGCCATTACCTTGGCGTATTTGGACAGCAAAATTAACTTTTAACTTATTTTACATCATATTATTTTTAATATTTTTTGCATATTTTCAAAATCTGCAGTGGCTTTTTAAAATCTGTATTCGGTAACAAAAGGAAAAACAAAAACAAAAATTTAGAGAAAACAAAAAGAAAAACAAAAACAAAGACATGGAGATTACAATACCGAGACTTGCATTCGATGGTGGACTACGGATTGCTGCCGTTCACTGCTAATAAAGGAAGTTAATGTAGTGGATTGTTAGAAGTAATGGTTTGAGGGACTGAAAGTACCGGAGAGAAGATTGGGTTATATATATATAAATTTTTAGAGAAAACAAAAAGAAAAACAAAAACAAAGACATGGAGATTACAATACCGAGACTTGCATTCGATGGTGGACTACGGATTGCTGCCGTTCACTGCTAATAAAGGAAGTTAATGTAGTGGATTGTTAGAAGTAATGGTTTGAGGGACTGAAAGTACCGGAGAGAAGATTGGGTTATATATATATATATATATATATATAAAAAAAATTATTAGAGCAAAACAAAAAGAAAAACAAAAACAAAGACATGGAGATTACAATACCGAGACTTGCATTTGATGGCGGACTGCGGATTGTTGCTGTTCACTGCTGATGAAGGAAGTTGATGTAGTGGATTGTTAGGAGCAATGGTTTGAGGGACTAAAAGTGTTTGAGGGTAAGAGAGATTTGTAATGGTTTGAGGGACTGAAAGTGTTTGAGTGTAGGAGAGATTTGTTTGAGGTGGGAGAGTAACAGATTTGTTTGGATAGGTTTTGTTTTGTTTTTTTTTTGTTAACAGCTTGATTTGTTTGACGTGGGAGAGTGAGAGTAACATATTTGTTTGGATAGGTTTTGTTTTTTTTTTTAACAGATTTGTTTGGATAGATTTTGTTTTTTTTTTTTTGTTGATGTTTTTTTATGGATAGGAGTTGTGGATAGTGGAGAGTGAGAAGGTGGAAGAGTAGGAGTTTTATTGTTATGAAAGTCTTTGAGAGGGAAGGATGCATGATATTAGCAATCACGTAAAGTTTTAGGGAACACTTAGATGGTAAAGATATTTTAGTCTAACGAACCCAGGCATTTGAGATGGAGAGTTGTGTGGGTGTTGCCAGTGAATCCAAGGGTGCAATCCATTGAAAATGATAAAATACAAATATCACTCTAATTTAGTTTTCATACATTACCAGGAAAAGATGCATTACATAAAAGCAAATATAAAACTTTATGAAATTAACTTTTTCAGGATGACATTAATTTTTTTGTGTTAAATTTTTTGTGAAATTAATTGAAAAATAAAAACAAATTTTCAAAAATTCAAACAAACAGAGCCTTTATGATTATTATATGAAAGTTATGTGAAATCAACGGCTTGATTTGTTTGACGTGGGAGAATGAGAGTAACAGATTTGTTTGGATAGGTTTTTTTTTTTTTAACAGTTTTTTTTTTTTTGTTGATAGTTTTTTATGGATAGGAGTTGTGGATAGGAGTTGTGGATAGTGGGAGAGTGGGAAGGTGGAAGAGTAGGAGTTTTTATTGTTATGAAAGTCTTTGAGAGGGAAGGAAAAGAGTTATAAACTCAGAAGAGACTTGCCACGTATTTTTCAGATTTATGAGAATTTTAGAATGGCATTTTCAAGCCTTGTAAAACACAACACTACATTCTATTATATATATAGTATAGATATCTTCATTAATATTCATATATTGTGTTAGATTGTTTCTACTGGCTTTGGCTCACCCTACTTGAGAAACCATTTGCAGGTGCTGGTGGCATACCTCCTCCAAGGACTTAGCTTGGGAGGACTTAGGAGCTGAAGGCTTTGTTTTTGTTGTTTTGTATTTAATATTTGTACAAGCCTAGGGTTTTATATGTATGGAGCTTAAGACTCTCTCCTTTATTGTAACCAAGCATAGGCTTGGAAAAATGTAAGCTTATAGGACATTTATTTTGTTGATCATTAACTGGTATCACATGTTATAGATTCAGGGTAGAGCTTATGAATGTATATCGCATGTGTCATTCATGTAAATTAACTCTAATTAAAGAAAGTCTATTATTTTGTTTATGTCATCTGGTATAAGTTATTTATAGATGAATTATTGTAATTTTTTTTTTTGGGGGGGGGGGGGGGTAACCAAAAAGGGCACACTTCATGTGGCATTTAAATACTAAATAATAAATAAATAAAAATCATCCACGTTATTCCTACTTAACCAATACGCTCTCCAATTAACTATTCTACACTTTTTCTCTTCTATAATCAATTACTTTTATCATTTTTCTTTTTTACATTTTGGTTTCTTTCTCTCTTTCTACAATGGTTTTCTATTTCAAAGAAAGTACAAAAATGTTTGATTCAATTATGGTAATCCTTTCTCTCTTTTCTTTCCTCTAGGGTTTCATTTTTTTCTATTTAACAATTTTTTTTTTTACCCTTTTTCAACCATTATTAAAGTAAAAGTACAAAGATAAACATTGTCAAGTATGTTTTCTTTATACAATTTCATTTTATGCTATTGTTATGTAGAATATGGATTGAGACCTATAAATTTTGTTTTCTTCTAGTTCTCCACCAATTTTTTTTTTAATTGAAATTATTTTCTTATATTTTTTCTAGAGAAGGAGTTGTTGAGTTTTTCCAAATTTTCCTTTGATTCGAATGACCCCATATATATGTCTGACATCAAATAGAGTCAAGCCAAACATCTAAATAGAAATTTGGGAGTGTGTAACATTATCGATGCCTCTATTTCTTCTTTTTTTTGTACATTGAAATGTTAAAAAATGAAAAAAAGAACACAACTAATCTCTTATAAAGGCTCTCCCTAATAGGTCCGCGCTATGCAAATTAAGAATCTCATCTAGAGGGTTGGGAGACACAATCAGTTGATCAACTCTATCCGTACCAAGGTGAGCCAACCAATCAACACACAAATTTCCTTTGCGACACACGTGTTGAGCTTCACCATTACACCTTTGCATCAAGTGTCTAGCATCCTCCACCAATCTTTTGAAAGAGGATTTTGGAGGTGCTCCATTGCATAACGTCTCGATAGCCACAGAGATGTCATATTCGATAGTGAATCCATAGAATCCTTTTTCCAAGGCTATGGTTAGACCTCTATAATGCCCCATAACTCTGCTTCCAAGTTGGTACAAGACCAAAATTTCCCGTAAAAGCCACACACCCATTCACCATCTTCATTTTTGAGCAAGCCATCGAAGCCACATTCTCCTGGGTCTCCACGAGTACATCCATCTATATTAAGCTTCAAACGACCTACACAAGGAAAAGTCCACTTAATGAGCACAGGTTTTTTCGAATTGGAAAAAATGTTGAACTGACACTAGAAAGCCTGAATGACTTCTGTCACATAATTATGAAGGAGGATTGCACTCTGTTCACATGAGGGCTCAATTTTATCAAACACTTTTCTATTATGATCTTTCTAGATTTGCCAAATAATCACAAGGAAAGTAACATTCCAATTAGGACTAAACTGGGCAAATTATTTTGATTTTAGATTTTTCTCAAGCCAAATATTCATAGGTTTCCGTCTATTTCTCGAAACCCAAATGCCAATTCCCAAGTAGGTCCATAAAGCCATAGAGTACTTACAGTCTCTAAAAATGTGGTCAAGATCTGTAACACCCCCAAAATATAACAATAAAACCAGAGTAATGATTAATTAAACAACATCATGATCTGAGAGTAAAGTCCTTCCATTTATATACTTCAAGTGCACAAAATAGTAACACATGCATTTATACATTCAAAAGCAATAACCCTGAATCTATTACATGTGCCATAAGTTAATAATATGAAATAAAAGTTAAACAGATATAGTAATGCCCTATTGGCTACAACTTTCCAAGATGATGCTTGGTTACAATAAAAGTGAGTTTGAAACTCAATACAAATAAAGCCCTAGGCTCGTACAAACATAGTTACAAAATAACAAAAGGAAACTATTGGCTCTAAGTCCCCCCAAGCTACGGTCTTGGCAGAGGTATATCATCAGCACCTGAAAATAGTTTTCCACACAGGGTGAGCCAAAGCTAGTAAAGATATTATAACATATTGTATGAATTTTAACAAGGTTATAAAGTGAGTACATGTGCAATGTTCATGCCAAAGCATTTTATGTCTCTTTTCAAAAACTTATGCAATGCCAAGTTTATATCATAATTCATGAAATCATTTCCTTTACAATAGAAAATAGGGTAGTGGATACAATACTGGGAATCTCTAGGACGTGTCTGCAAGTAGGCTACAAGAACTACCAATTTGTCATTTTTACCAGTACTAACCGGAAGGCTCGACACCTGTCCGTGCGGGTTTCTGGACTTTCACCAAGGACACACAGGCCAACATAATACCACAACTACACTCCTACCCAGATTCACCAAAGTATTCACCCATTTTTTCTCAAAATAGTATACATTTTTGATATGTTAAATATGTAATGATGCTCAATGCAAATAGATGAGATATTAGTTCAATTCACCTAATTCTCATGCAATTTTTACAACAACCATTATTATCCTCCACCGATAGCCCAAAATAGATATCTCTAGACAGATAAATAATTTCCAAGAAAGATGCACTTTCCAAATCTCAAGATGGAAGTGATGATACATAGCCAACTCCACCACATCATCATCATCATCATTCCAATTCCATAAAATCTTACATCATTTCTATTTTTTCTATTTGCAAAATCAAATGTTCATATTTTAGGGCAAAATCACATTTTCTTTATAAATCAATTCCAAGGATAAAATACGTCATTTTACCACAACTCAACCACATTTACAATTTCATAACCATTTTCAAGAACCCATTTGAAAACCCCTCTGTTGATATCTAACCAAAACCCTAGATTTGTTCCAAAATCCCCAACATCAAGATTTCTTTGAAAAACAAATAACCAAGTTAAAAATCATACTAGAGTATAGAGAAATCCCTACCTCAAAGACAAAGACCAAGAGGAACAATAGTTGAAACTCGATGAAACCAAAAATGAACTTTGCTCCAATTAGAATGAAGCCATAGGTGAGCTCTACCTTTTTAACAAAAAGACAATGGTGTAGAGATCAATGGATCAAAGTGTATTTGAGGTTTTAGAGATGGTTTCTAGAGAGTGAGAAAGGAGATCTAAGTTTTGGAATGTTTAGAGAGAGAGAGAGAGGTGAGAAAATGACTCAAAAAGTGTGTTTCTCGAACTGATATACGCTCAGACCGCTCGAGCACAAAAATGGTCGCTCGAGCAACCAAACACAAAAAGAGAGACTACTCAAACAAACAAAGTACCGCTTGAGTGAAGAATACCACTCTTCCAGTACTTTTGCAGGCCTACAAAAGTACTAAGAGTTCCAAAAGACCGCTTAAGCGCAAGAAGTACTACTCGAGCCAAGATTGCTCGAGCGCAGGAAACACCGCTGGAGTGAAGAATGCCATACTTCCAGTAGTTTTGTAGACCTACAAAATACTAGAAGTTCTCAAAGCTCGCTTGAGTGCAAGAAAGTTCGCTCGAACAAACAAGCTAAAGACTAGGCAGTAAGAGTTTTGAAAAACTAACTCCCCAACCTATTTCAAACACAACCAAGACACTTCAATAACCAAATTCAACAAGAAATGAGACGAAAGAAGACATGAACAACCATTAAGACAAGGAATCCTAGATTTGAAACAATGAACGGGTCGGGTCTAAACCAGAATCGTGATAAGATGTTACTCAAAGTTAAAGTATCTAGGAGAATTCCCAGAAGTAGTTAAACCCCTCTTCCATCTCAAGGAATTTGTAAGGAGCTTTCTATGAAGGATTAACCAAACAGATCCCTTAAGCTTTTGAGAGATTTGTAACTTCTAAAGCCATTGCAAATTATTGGAATTCCTCAGAGGATTGACAACAAGATCATGAGCTGCCTTTGTTGAGAAACTACTACTCTTAGAACCCTTCCACATAGGAAAATCAGTAAAGGTCACATAAAGTGCCATGTGTATCATCCTTACCTAATCAATTGCTTGACTGGGGAGATAATCATTCAAAACGATAGGATTCCAACCCCTTTTTTCATCAAGGAGGCTATCCATAGTAATATCATCTCTGTGAGGTAGATCAGGGAATAAAGAAGCCAAACTAGCTTCCCCACACCACCAATCATGCCACAAAGAGATTTTAGAACCATCCCCCACATTCCACTGGAACCCCTTTTTTAGGATAGATTTAGTCTTGAGAATGCCATTTCAAACATGAGAGACTCTTTTCTTATTGGGAAAACGCATCAAGGAGTCCCTTTTAAGATACTTATGTCGGAACACATCAAGCCATATGCCTTCCTCTTGACATAAAATTTTCCATCCCGATTTGGATAGGAGAGCTAGATTTTGGTTTTTAGCCTTTTTCAAACCCAACCCTCCATACTTTTTGTTAGTACAAACTATAGCGATCCCGGTTTTCCCTTCATTGCTTATTGTATTCCGGACTTAGTCCCGTGGGTGATTGTTGTTGTCTGTATTGCATTTCCGTCCTTTAACTCCTTGAAGTTGAGTTTAGAAACGTCTTGGACGTGCTCCGAACAGATTGGGTGAGCTTTGGTCTCTATTCTTGTTGCCCAAATTTTTTATGATCCGCTCGAGTGGGTCCCTTTGCGCTCGAGCGGATTTTGCACACTTTCAGCACTTTTTTGCGTCTGCAGAATTACTGCAAGAGTGTTTTTCGCGCTCGAACGGGTATCTTTGCGCTCGAGCGGGTGTTTGAAGTCTGTAAAAGTACTGAAGGAGTGTAATCTACGCTCGAGCGGATCCCTTTTTGCGCTCGAGCGAGTGGAGTTTGCTGTTGTGTCTTGGCGCTCGAGCGGGTATCTTTGCGCTTAAGCGGATCCAGTTTTTGTGTTTGACGCTCGAGCGTTCTATTCTCCGCTCGAGCGGGTCATACGTATATCAGGTCTGGACTGTGTCATTTTAGATCACTTTTTCAACTCTCACTCTCTCTCTAACTTTTCAAAACACAAACTTAAGAGCCTCTCACTCTAGAATATAACTTCTCTCTAAGGTTTGATCTAGTTTGAGTGATCTTCTACCATAGTTCCTTTGTAAAAAGTGTAGAGCTTGGTGTGGACTACCTATCAATCCGAAAATCTTTGGGCTTGGAGCGTTTTGAATTTCTTCATCTTCTCCACTTGGTTTCATCTCTTGAGGTAAGGATAACTACTCATATTTATGGTCTTTAACATAAGCTTGTAGATATTTTGATATAATGTTGAACTTGGGAAATTTTGGGGATTAGGTTTTCAATCTATATAAAGATGGATTTTGTTCTTTTGACTCACACATGTATATTTTGGGTCTTAAAATGAGTTTATTGATGTTAAATGAAAATATTTGAGCCTTTGGGTCAATGTTGAGAAAAGGGGGGGGGGGGAAAGCTCTAATTTGTTGTTATGAATTAATTTGTACAATTAATTTGGAAGGTTATGAAAATATGAAATTGAGTTGAAAATAATGAAATTGAGGAGTTATGAAAATGAATGGTGGAGTTGGATAAATTAATCACTCACCTTTGGAAATATTGATAATTTATCTGTTGATACATTTATTACCTGTTTAAAAATAATTGCTTTGGGCTATCGGTGGAGGATAGTCTTGATTGTTGTAGACACTGTATGTTGATTAGGGAAAACTGAAACTGATCACGTTTAATATGTCATTGAATATGACAGTTGAAATAATACATCGAATATGCGTATTGATTGATCATTGTATGAGAGAAGGTGCTTAAATACATTATATATATATATATATATATGTATATTTGTTTGGGAGAAGATAGGGGATGTGCTCCACACACATATGTGTTCATATACTTTAACCCATTATCTATGTATCTTTGTTTGGGAGCAGATAAGGGATGTACTCCATATGTGTTCATATACTTTAACACATTATTTATGTATCTTTGTTTGGGAGGAGATAAGGGATGTACTCCATATGTGTTCATATACTTTAACACTTTATTTATGTATCTTTGTTTGGAAGGAGATAGGGGATGTACTCCATATGTGTTCATACACTTTAACACATTATTTATGTATCTTTGTTTAGGAGGAGATAGGGGATGTACTCCATATGTGTTCATACACTTTAACACATTATTTATGTATCTTTGTTTGGGAGGAGTTAAGGAATGTACTCCATAGACAATTAAGTTGGTCGGAGTGTCCGGGGTAAAAGTCCGATAACCTTATAATTGAAATGCAGGAATAAAGTTGTTAGTTGAAGTAGTAATTACGTGAGACGTAGTCCCATTTTGAATTGTGGAGAACGGAGGTGTTAATAAGTCGAGTTGTAGTCTCACTTAAATTGTTTGGGTTAGATAATGAACCATATCTAGGAATTGAATTGGATAAATAAGGGAGGTGGATGGAAACATGAATGTAATTGTTATTGGGCTATGAGTAGGATGTGAATTGGTTTACACGTGTTAATCATTTATCAAATGCTAATGTTTTAGTTATTGCTCATATTATGTTTAGCATATCTCTACTAGGCGTTGGCTCACCCTATATGGAACATTATTTTCAGGTTTAGGTGATACGCCACCTCCAAGGACGTAGCTTGGGAGGCTTGAGGCTGATAGCTCGTTTGTTTATTCTCTTTTGTATATTACATGTGTATCAAGCCATGGACTTATTTTGTGTAAAGAGTTAGAATTCTACTTTTGTTGAACCCAAGTGTTGACTTGGAAAGTTGTAAGCCTATATGACATTTACTTTTGTTGTCAACATGTAATATTTTTTATAAGAATACTCTGATGAATGGCAATATGTTTTACTCTCTTAAGTTTATGGATGTAATGAATGCATGATTTATGGGTTGGATTTGAGGGCGTTACACAAACCGTATCCTAATTAATGAAATGCACTTTTTTTTCCCATCACTGAATCTCCCCAAAGGAAATTCCTATTGATCTTGTCCAGATCTTTACAAACATTCACAAGGAGCTCCACAGTTTGCATGGTATAAGAAGGGAGGGCAATAGCTCTCCCAACTAAAGATAGAAGGCTAGCTTTCCAACCTAAAAGTCTTTGATGAAGCTTCTCGAAGATGGAGAGAAAGTGACTCTTGCTAACCCTCTTATGGAAGAGGGAGATGCCTAAGTATTTTCCCAAATCATGAGTGAGGGGGATCCCACACTGAAAGCTTAAAGCTCTGGCCTTTGCCTTCTCCAAATTTGGAGACACAAAAAGCTTAGATTTTTGTAAACTAATTTTCAACCCAGAAATAGCACTAAAATCAGCCATCACTTTCATCACAACATTCCACACCTTAGAATCAACTTTGGGAAAAAAAGAGAAAGTCATCTGCAAAGAAGAGATGGGAAATAATAGGCCATTTTTTTGATGCCTTAACCCTTTTCCAAGCCTTACTCTCAACTTCATAGGTGATTATATTAAATAGCCTCTCCATGCAAAAAACAAAGAGGTGGGGGGTTAAAGGATCCCCTTGGCCTCTTTCAAGAGGGAATTCTTGCAATTGTTCCCCATTCCAAAGGACTGCTGATTTGACACTAGTCACATAGTTCATAATAAGTTGTACCCAATGATGGTTCAAATTATTCTCCACCAAAGTATGGTGCAAGAGTTCCCAAGAGATAATATCATATGCTTTTTCCAAATCAATTTTCAAGATCATATCGCCAACTTTTCCTTTCTTGAATATGAGAGTGTGGATAATCTCTTGAGCAATGATAACATTATCACAAGTAGTCCTCCAAAGCAAAAAACTACACTAGTTAGGGCTAACAATTCTACCAAGAAGAGCTCAAATTCTATTAACCAAGATTTTAGATATGGCTTTATAAAAAACATTGCACAAGCTAATGGGTTGTTTGATATTCTCAGGGTTATCCACTTTAGGGATAAGAGTAATAAGAGTTTTATTCAAGTCCTTCGGGGTTCTCTTATCCCCAAAGCAAGTCTTGATAAACTCACACACTGACAGGCCGACAATATCCCACTGAAAATGATAGAATATAGATTGCAAACCAAACCATCCACTTCAAGGCTTTGAAAGTTGTAATGCACTTAATAGCCTCCCACACTTCTTTGTTGGACATTGGTTTCATCAAAGAATTGTTCTCTTCGCAAAAGATCTTGGCATAAGACGCATTTCTCCAATTACTCAAATAAACAGTGTCAACCCTCTTAAAAAGATTCCCAAAATAATTGTGCACATGAGCAATAATAGCAAGAGGGTCCGAAATCCATTCCCCATTCAAATCTTTAAGTGCATGCACTCTAGATTTCCTTCGTCAAGCTACAGTGGCTATATGAATAAACTCGGTATTTCTCTCCATTTGGGTGATCCATCTAGATCTAGATTTTTTAAACCACAGGAGTTCTTCTTGAAACAAAACAAAATCATACACGTTCACTAACTCTTTTTCCAAAATAAAAAGGTTGTGGAAAAACTTAAAAGATTGAGATTTCTGAATACTTTCAATTCTGGCCCAAAGCCACCTTTTCTTACAAAAAATAGTTCCAAAAACAGTTTTATTCCAAACTAAAACCCTATTTTTAAACACAAGAGTGGCATCATAAATAGAATTATGGACTTCCTCTCAAGAATTTATAATAATATTTTTGAAACTGGGATCTGTGAGCCAAGTGGCTTCAAATCTAAAGGGTCTACAAGAAGAGTTAATAAGAAACATACCTTGAGTGTAGATGACCATAGGAGAATGGTCAGAATGGGTCCTTGGTAGGTTTCTCATAGCTTCTTCAAGAAATGTTTCCCTCAAATCAGTGCTGTAAACAGCTTTATCCAAACGCTCAAGAGTGTTAGCCCAGCCTAGTCTACCATTGGACCACGTAAGGTGAGGCCCCGAATAGCCTAAATCCATAAGGTTACATTTACTCAAGCTATCGAAATTTTTTTGGGATCTACCATGATGAAAATTGGTTGCGAAGCTTCTCTTTTCAGTAAGGGATGCGATATCATTGAAGTCCCTAGCAACTAGCCATGGATCTTGCATATTATCTGCCATCGACTCCAAATTAGTCCACAAAACTTCTCTATTGCATGGATTGGGGCTAGCATAGATCGCTGAGAGTATCCAGTATCTTGCATATTATCTGCCATCGACTCCAAATTAGTCCACAAAACTTCTCTATTGCATGGATTGGGGCTAGCATAGATTGTTGAGAGTATCCAGTATGGGTAATTTTCTCTCTTGACCTTGGCATGAATGACTTGGTGGTTAGCTTCCAAGGCTTGTACTATTACACGAAATGGGTCCCAAATAATCCAAATATCTCCACTTTGCCTGATAGGGTCCACATGCGTAGATGTTGTATATCCTATGTTATTAAAAAACAACCCCATAAGGGTTGTGATTCTTCACCAATTCTTTGAGCGTATGATTGAAGGCTTTGTTGCTAGCCCCTCTACGATTCCATATAAGCAACATCATTGATAAGGAGTTTGGATAAGACGGAAGGGGTTGATTCTTTCTTTTTTTTTTTCAAAAGGGATTCTCTCATCTATCTTGTTATTACGTGGCCTTGTCTTAGTTTTAAGATGATTAAGGTGTTATTTTGATATGATTTAAATAAATATATATTTTTATTTTTTATAAAAAAATGTGCAATGTGATAGAGAGATGATATGATCTAAATAAAATAAAAAAATGTGCTAAAGTAGCACAAGCCAAACAAAGATTTCGGTCTTTCTCAAAGTCCGGTCCCTTGGGTCCTCTAGCATCTCTCTTCTGAGCCTTCCCGTTGAACCCATAATTGTTGTTTCTGTTAACTCTTTTTCCAGTCCAATTATTTTTCTTAGTTACAAGTATCCAGGCCCAAAGCTGTTAGTTTCCCGTTGTTCAACCAGTTCATAGCTTGTAGAAGGCCCATTTTTTTGTTTCAGCCCAGGGCCAATCTCTGAATTTCCAACGGTCATCTAGTGCCCGCCTTCCGCCGGACGTTTGCCTTTCAAATCTGTCTTCTTCGGCTGCATGTTGCACGATTCCTTCCAGTGACCAGCCTTGCCACATATAAAGCAAATTGAATGTAAGTGTTCATACTCAATTGCATCGGTTAACTTACCAATGGTGAAGTGAGAGATCAAGGGCTTGTTCAAGTCCATCTCCACACACATTCTGGTATATTACCCTCTAGACGAAGTTGTCATATTGATGTCAATCTTCAGAGGCTTTCCAATTGCCTAAGCAATATAGAACAACTCCTTCTCGTTGTAGTACTTGATTGGAAGTTGGAGAAATCGAACCCACAATGCCGTAGATACTTCTCCGGCAGCCATTGGTTTGAAGTCATGCTTCCATTTTCGAACAGTCAAGTAATGATCTAGGACGATCCACAGACCTCCTGTGTAGGCTCTAACACAGTCCTCTTTCATCTGAAATTTGATTAAGAAGAAGCCAAATCCCAAATCTATGGCTTCGAAATCTCCTTGCAAGTCCCATACCTTCTTAGTCTTACTAATCAGATGTTTATAACCCACTGTCAGGCCCAAAAGCTTAATAGTAAGACAGTCTTTCCAAGGTTTACGAATCTTGTTCAACAAAATTATGGGGAATGTGATGTGAGGGACACCTGGTATACCACTCTCAGAGTGGTCCATATCCTCGTCTTCGCTATCATCTTCATTGCAGTACTCACCATCCGTTGCTAGGTCCTTCAGATCTAAATCAAAGGATTTCTCATTCAGTCGCTGATTATTCAAAGCATCTTTGAAAGATCGAGGGAGAAGTCTGCCCTTAGTCTCTCTCGTAGTACCAGTGATTTGAATCTTACTAGAACCCCAACCAGAGGGGAATTCAAACATCAGATCATCATCCCTAGCTTTGATTCCCTTGATTTTCTTCGTGCTCCTGATTAGATGGTCCTCATCTTCAGAGGACTTGGGCACTCAGAGTACCGTTGCTAGCATTGGGAGATGGATTCATTCTAGAGAAAGAATTTTTTTCCTCCAGCACCACCACAAGAATATGCCTCTCTACTTATGAGGTTTCATAGATTCTCTAACCACGTATAAGTTAAGTCGAGAAAATGTCTGGTAGTCTGAATTTTTGTAGTTTAAATGGTTCAAATGTGTTAAAATGATATTGTTTTATACTCAAAACGACGTTGTTTTCGAGCCATTTGAGATATAATTTTTCGAACTACCTAACTTTGTTGAAGTTAAGTCAATTAAGCAATATGATTAATAATCTCATGAGTTGGTGTAAGATTGGTTCGAGGCGGACTCTTAACTTTTTCGGGGGCTCATAGCAAATCTAGAATATATGATTTTTCATATATATTTAAAATAAAATAAAAAAAGTTTGATCAAAAGATTATATATTGAATTTTGTTCCAAATTTTTGCATTTAATAGTGTACACAAAAAAGACTATTAAAATTTACTTAAATATATAATAAAGTTTATAATAATAAAAAAAGACTAAAATATAAGTTAGAGTACCAAATAAAAAGTAAGTATTCTATTTATTTATTTAGTTTCATGTCCAAAATTATATTTTCTGAGAATAGTGACGTGTTTGATATAGTTTATCAAAAATTATTAACATCATCATCATGCTAGCCTCAATCATTACAAATCAAATAATCAATAAAAGGAAAGAAAAAGGTTGAGACTCGTTTTTTCCTCGAACTCTATCACCCCCAATGTATTAGGATTAGTTAACTTTTTACTTTTTGTTTTTTGTTTTCCCTCTTATCACTTACTGACATGTGTTTGTGGAGATTGTGGGGGTCAAGAAAAAAAGAGGTCTCTATCATTTCTATAAAAGGAAACATAAAAAATAATAAAAATATGTAATCGTAATAGACAATATATATAATCAATGATTAAATACATATTTAATCAAATAAAAATAAGAATTCATCTCTATTAGAGTTTGTATCTTGAAATCCAACTTTATATTACAAATTTAAGACTTTCCATCATAATTGAACAAATATATAAAAAAAAAAAAAACCAATATAGAAAAAGCTAAGAAATATTATAGTTCTCTAATTAGTTTTAAAAATAAAATAAAATTGATGAGTACTTCTAATTCTTGTTGCTAACAAAAACCAACTAGTAAAAACTTTGATTTTATTATATGTTTGTAGTTATATCTCAAATTGTTTAAAATAAAAATTGAGGCCTCAAAATTTTGAGCCTTCTTTATTCAGATTTGGACTCTTCTTATAAAAAAATTTAGATCTTTTTCTTAACCAGATTCGGCCTCTTCTTATAAAAAAACGGTAGATCTTTCTTACTTCCTATAGTTTTTGGGGCCTTTTTTTGGGGCTTTTTTTTGGTGGCCCCAAGCGGCTTTACCCCAAAGTCGCCTCCGGATTGATTGTCTAATTAAATTAGTGGGATAAATATTTATTATATATTCATTTTATTTTTTTCTTTCATACTTGAAATTATAATTCTCAACCCCTCTCAATATTAAAAATTCGTCAATTTTATCGGGTTGAACGTCCGCTGTACATGAAATCCGATTAATAAAATTTACAATTAAATATAAAATTGTAAGTTCATAAACTAACAATTTCAATCCTATACTAAATTCTACTAATTAAACATGTCCTTAATTGTTAAGTTTAATTAATTACAATGAAAATCGTTTAGAGCACGCCTACTTGAACACGTTTTGCCCTTCATTTAAGCAACCACGCAAACATGGTATTAACTAGGTGTTTGGGAAGTTAAAAATTAGCTTTTTTTAGGACAAAATATTACATAAAATCTGTAATTATTTTACTTTTTCTTTCACAAATATTACATCAAACTACAAAAAAATTCAACATTCTTCCCAAACACAAATATTTTAGCCTACTAAAATAGCAAAAAAATTAAAATAGCTTATTAAAATAACTAAAAATTAAAATATTTTATTAAAATAGTCAACTTTTATTATTTCTAAATTTTAGTAATCAGGAAAAAAAACTGTCAATTACTTGTCATTTAGGGGTTGTTTGGAATGTCCTAAATAAGTGCACTTTTTAACTATTTAGACTAAAAAGTAGAGGAAAAAAAATATGGTTATTTAGAATAACTTTTTTTCTTTTTACGAAAAAATGTATATTAAAATATTTTATAAAATAACAAAATTACGTTTTACCCCTACGTTCTAGACTCATCAGTGACAGTGCTGCAGGAGGATCGTACAAAATCGTTGAAATGGTGAGAAGAATCTGAACCATATGCATATATAGCATGAGGCTTCACGGGTACTGTTGGGCCCGTGGGGGCCCACCACGGGTCTCGTTTCGATAATCCAAGCTGTTCAATGTGTAGAACTCATTCAGTACTATATACCTGTAAAAAATCACTTTGATCGGATATTGATAACTATGTAATCAAAACAGTTTTGTATGAGAAAAATGGACGGTGAAAAATAAACGGCTGGAAAAATCTGATTTGATCACATAGCTATTCATATCCGATCAATGTGATTTTTTTCAAGCATAAAATAACTCGAAAAGTTGTACACATTAAATGGTTCGGATTGTCGAAATGGGATTCGTGATGGGCCCCCACGAGCCCAACAATACCCTCCAACTTAATGAATATATATATATATATATAATTTTTTTTTGTACCATCACTGCGTAAATTTCTCATCACTTCAGTAGTATCACTGTGTAGCTTTTTGGTTTGTACTAATATTGTGGAAATTAATTTTTTATATTTTTTTAATTTGTGAATAGTGATAACTTTTTTTATTTTTTGAGTAACTTTTTAATTTTGACTTTTTCTTATCATGCCAAACCAGCTCTTAATAGTGTTCAGTGCATTGAGTCCATTGAAAACTTGATCGTGCTTAGGCAAATTTTCAGATGCTATACACACACGCACCTAAAAAAAAAAAAAATTGAAAATAAGGGAAAATTATTTATAAGTTCTATTAAGGAGACTTATGCTACATATGATCCTATTAAAAAATTTATGTTCCCATAAGTCCTGTGGAAAGTTTGTTAACACATTTATCCTCAATATTAGTTGTTAATATCATAAATAATAGTAAAACCATATATAGGAAATTGAATGTTTCCATAGATTATATCTATATAAACGTAACGTAACGTGACACCTACATA